ATATTTAATATATATTTTATATACTTTGTTATGTATTTATATTTTTATATCTATTTTAATATATTTTTATGTTATCCTTAGGTTTTCTTTGCACTTATGCTGACGCCTCTGTTTAAGAAGTCGAAGCACGTGGGTATAGTGGAGTTCTTGGCGACGCTGGCCTTTGGCTTTGTGGGTCTCAATATTGTCCTGCTGGAGGATTTCCCCAAGTCCTTCGTGTGGATCCTCAGCCCCTTGTGTCAGTGCAGCTTCTTGATCGGTGTCGCGCAGGTAAATCACCGCCCGCTCCTCCCATCTCAGCCTCGTCTTGCATCACTTTCAATGCGGTCTCGATGAAGATATTCAGAATTTTTTCATTTGTGTAACACCTCCCTCTGTCCGTGTGTGCTGGCAGGTCATGCACCTCGAAGATTATGAAGACGGCGCGACGTTCGCAAACCTATATCGCGGCCCTTACCCGCTCTTCATCTCTCTTATTTTATTGGTGCTGGACAGCATATTTTACCTGCTTGTAGCTGTCTACCTTGATCAGGTCATCCCAGGTATGTTCATGAGAGAAATTGAGCTGAACGGTGGTAGCATCACCAAGTCCTGAAGTCCTGAGCGCCCCACGTTGTCCTGGCTGTGGCATTTCTGACTTAATTCCAACTGTGGAGAAAGGGGATGCTGCTTTTTACAAATATATTTTATGCTGTGACTCAGAATACCTTTAGCTGAAATAATTTATATCCTATTAAATGTGAAGAAGGGTGTTAGCACATTTAGAGTTGATGGCCCTTAGGTGTGCTGACTATGCTTTATTTCCCTCCTTTTGGAGGAAAACCATCCTTACTGGGTTAACCGGGGCCTCAGCCTTTGCAATTTGCTCTTAAAAGGCTGAAAATAAGCAACTACTCTGCCTGTTCCAGCTCTTTCCTTGTGACAGCAGTAGCTTAACGTGAAACACAGAATAAAGTGGTTAATCTGTGGCTAACGCCCTTCAGCTCCCAGAATCCCAGAATATGAGGAGTTGGAAGGGACCTGGAAAGCTCCCCCAGTGCAACCCCTGCCAGAGCAGGAGCACCAGAGCAGTCACACAGGAACACGGCCAGGGCTTTGGGTGTCTGCAGACAAGGAGACTCCACAACCTCTCTGGGCAGCCTGTTCCAGTGCTCTGTAACCCTCCCATCACCTCTGATCTCCCTGGCTTTACGTTTTCCATGTTTCAGTCCCTCTTCTTCCCGCGCTGGGGATTTCTCTTGCACAGGAAGAGATTTGCACAGACATTTAAATACTTGGCAACACTGGAACCTGCAAGCGGTGTTGAGGGGAACCGTGGCTTAAATGCAGATATTGTGAATTTGGCTGATGAAATCCCTCCAGAAGGGAGGTGTGAGCTGGCTCCTCAACCTGTAGCAGGATTGCTCATGGCTTTTAGAGCTAAAACCCCGCGCTTTTTGTACTTTTACAGCATTTTGTAATGTTGCAGTTACAACAGCATAAAAGCTGTCTTTTCCCCTTTCTGATGCAGGGGAGTTTGGCCTACGCCGCACACCGTTTTTCTTCATGAAGCCCTCGTTTTGGTCAAAGCACAGGAAAAATTACAAGGAGCTGTACGAGAGCAGCATCAACGGCAGCTTGAGTTTCAGCGAGATAGTTGAGCCCGTGCCTTCTGAATTTCAGGGGAAAGAAGCCATCAGGTACGATTCCTACCCTGCCCCACATGCCGTTTAGCAAACCTGGGTCTTTTTAACGTGTCATTTGGAAATCGCTCTGGTTTCTCCAATCGTTGGATTCAAATAGCATATGGTATGCATTGCCCAGAGTCCTCCACGCACGGCACGGCTCCTTAGCCCCATCGTCAGCGCCGTGGATGCTCTCCAAGGATAAATCGCTGGGCTTACTGAAAGGGGTGGTTTGTGGGTTGGAGTCCTCTCAAAACCGGCCCTGTTTCCATTCCCTTGGTTTCACTGAGGCCACGAGAGGCCTAAGCAGTTGCAGATGTCGAAATGCTTGCTCTTCTGGGCAGGTTTAGTTTCTAGTCATGCACATTTGAGGAGACAAAGCTGGGTCCCAGGTTTATGTGAAGGCTGTGGTCTTCTCCATGGACCAGAGGAGAATTTGGTGGTGGTTTTACCCAGCTGCTGTGTCTAAGAGGGTAAAACAAAGCTGAGAAATAGATGTCCGTGCTCTCATCCTTCGTGTTGCGTTTTGTGTCACCTCTTGTCTTGCATCTGGGCTGTCATGTTTTTAGTGTCTCAGATGCCATTTTCAGTATCATCCTTTTAGCCCTCGTTCCCATCATTTTCCAGTGATGTGAGTTGAGGAGCTCTGCATCTTCGCTCCTCCTGGTTGGCTCCCATGGTCTCAAATGTTTGAGCTTAGTGACCAGTATGAGTCTTGTGTCATCAGCTCTGTCCACGTCTCTTTGGGCACCTGCCATAGGTTGAAGGGCATGGTTTTAATCCCAATGTTCACACGAGAACATTGCAGCCATTTCTATGTTAATTCGTCCACCCTGGACTCTTCTTGTCATCTTTACATGTACAGGTTTTGTTTCCTTCCATACCTACTTCTCCTCCCCACTGCTCACATCTGTAATCCACTCCCTGTCCTCATGTTCAGGGTGGCCAGGCTTCCAAAACCCATCCTTCATGTGGTGCCTTCACATAAATTGGTTGAGTTTTTATCATTTTGAAAAATGGAGCTGGAAGGAAGGTTTTTACCTTTCCTGGAGAGAAAGATACCAGCTTTCTTTTACCTCATTTTGAGCAAGAGCTGTAGTAATCACACCTTTGGAGTCTGTTCTACCAGCATCTCTTTACCATAGCATGTCTGTGTATTCTTCTGTTGTATTGTGAAATTATTGGGGGGCATAGCCGTGCCCTTTTCTAGCTTGGGAAACCTCTAGTGCATGTTCTACCATGTGAAAGAAAGAGATTTGAACTAATTCATATATCATCATAGGAAATACATTAAAAAAGTAACCAGAAAAAGCTTTCTGATACCAGAGTGGAGATGGATTAAGTGACAAGATGCCTTGTCCCTTGGCTTTCCTCTATGGGTCTTCAATGTGTCTAATGCCACTGTAGCGTGGTCATCTTGTGACTGTTGCTGAGTGTTGATCATTCAAAATTCTCTACAGAGATCCTAAAATAGTGTATAAAATGCCGTGTCTTCTTTCAGAATCAGCTGTGTTCAGAAAACATTCAGGAAAAAGGGGGAAACTGTGGAGGCTCTCAGAAGTAAGAACATTTCAGCTTTTTAGCTGTTTATCAGACGCAGGGGAGCGATAGCTGAGTTGTTGAGTGACCTTTTGTGTTTCAGTTTGGGGTTTTTTTTGGTTTCTTTTAGTGGGGCGGGACCTCGGAGCATGAATGCCAGATGTGCTTGTGTGTGTCTTCTCTCACCGCGTGGGCAGTAATCTTCTTTAAAAGGGTACCCCAAAAAGAGGAGCCCTTTTCACTAAGGAAAACCTGCTGATGTTGTCCCGTTACTCCTCCTCCTGTGTCATTAGTGATACGATCTTCCCTGCCCCTTTTTTCATCTCATGTCCCTGTGTGGCTTTTAAACATTGGCCACCCCATGGGGTGAGGACCATCCCATCCCAGCCCCACGCCAGGGCGCAGAGGTAAGGCATCCCCTCGAGCACAGTGTAAATGCATACCCCATATGTCCGTATTTGAATTGACCTCTGTGGCAGGAGCCGGGTCCAGGTACCACAGGAGCATCCCTAACATCTCCTCTTTCTCTCGCCGCTGCCTCGGGGACCAGATTTATCCTTCGACATCTACGAGGGTCAGATCACGGCTCTGCTGGGACACAGCGGGACGGGGAAGACGACGCTGATGAACATCCTTTGCGGGCTGTGTCCTCCGACGGACGGTGAGCTGCTCCCATCTTTAGAGATATCAGATACCCTGCTTTGGAAAACCAAACCTTTAAGCACTACATTTTCCTGTCTTTTGGGTTTTATTTCTTTTTAGGGTTTGTCTCCGTCTATGGGCACAAAGTCTCTGAAATCGATGAAATGCTTGAAGTGCGGCAAATCGCAGGGGTGTGCCCGCAGTCCGACATCCACTTTGATATATTAACTGTGGAGGAGAACCTCTCCATTTTCGCTGCAATTAAAGGCATCCCTCAGAATGATTTGATACAAGAGGTAAATCAGCCGGGCACAGATTATGTCCATTTTTTAAGATGTAGGGTAAAATACCCTTACATTGCAGGGAAATCTCCTTAAGACAAGTTTGTGGGGAAATATTACATTATGGTACAATAGACAAAGAGATTTTTACAAAGATAAACTGTTAATTTTTCCTACGTAACTAAAATGCTCACGAAATATTATAAGTCATAGCATTTGTGTTCAAGCATCGATGCCTTTTAACTTCACATTTGCTGGAGCTTCAGACCCTGCTTTGGATGTAGAGGTTTGTTAGCAGGGTGTGTGAGTTGGGAGCAGTTAAATTGAGTGTTACTTGGTAATAATCGTGTTAAAAAAATATAGCTTTTTTATCAGTAAATGTGTCTGTTATGTTTTAAAGGTGCAGAAGGTGCTGCTGGATTTGGATATGCAGCCTATCCGAGACAATCAAGCTAAAAAACTGAGTGGGGGGCAGAAGAGGCGGCTGTCGGTGGGGGTTGCTGTTCTTGGGAACCCGAAGGTGAGTGGGACGGGGTGATGTCTCTTGTCAAGAGCAGCTAATGGGTATAATAATACGTAAGATGAAGAAATGGTTACTTGGAGCATGTCACTCTCTTTTATTTTTGAATTCATTTATGGTTTACACAATTAAAATCACCTCAATAGCTCAGCCTGCATCCTTGAGGTTGCTCATGGCTTAGTTAATGGCACTGGATTGGATCTCTTGGTGAAATGAATAGTGTGATGAGTTTGATGGCATTTCTGGCGTAACATTGAGTCCCCAACAGCGAACGTGTCTGAGTCCCTTGCAAAGCCACCCAGGCCCATGGAGCAGGGACAGAGCCAGAAAGCTCTTTTGTGTTACAGATCTGTTATTTCTGGCCTGTAAGAACTGCTTTTACCTCCCTATTTAAGTGATGTGTGTAACAGTTCGCTGGGATTTTAAAAGCGTATGTGTATATTTAACCAGCCCTTAATAGGAGTGAACCTGTAGCTAAACGTCATTGTGTTAGAATAAAGCAGACTGTGGCATTAACTCGCTATGTGATTTTTTCATTTGTCACAACAGGAGATGCCTTTATTCAAAGCACAGTGCAGACAGCTGCCTTGCTTACTCCAGGATGTTTCCTGTGTATTTTAGAGGACTAACTAGCAGGAGTAGAGGACTAAAAAGCTCAGGATCTATCACTTAGGTAGGATTTCCTAAGGTCAATACCTCGGATGTGGCTTTGCAAACACTTCTTGTTTTTGCCCCCAGGTTTTGCTGCTGGATGAGCCGACAGCGGGTATGGACCCGTGTTCACGACACATCGTCTGGAACCTCCTGAAAAACAGGAAAGCGAATCGTGTCACTGTTTTCAGCACCCACTTCATGGATGAGGCGGACATCCTTGCCGGTGAGTCCTGCGTGACCACCTGGGTACCACCTTGGGCGATAGAAATGTTATGGAGCAGAAAGGGATGCCTCTCTAACCATGGAATACGCCTTTGTTTGAAACACAAGGTTGGGTTTTGGAGCCAGTTGAGCAAATCGTCTGAGTCAAAGGGCCTTCTTGGTTTTTTGTTTCTAGATCGTAAAGCCGTGATTTCTCAAGGGATGTTAAAGTGCCTTGGATCTTCTCTCTTTCTCAAAAGCAAATGGGGAATTGGCTACCGCTTGAGGTATTCTTTTTGTGTAATTCCTGTTACGTGACGTCATGTATCTTTTTTTTATTCTTTTCTGTTGAATCCATAAGATCACACCCCCTAACCCCAAAAAAAGATCCTTCTATCATTCCCATACTGAATGCATGGTGCTCTGCTGGCTGATCGTTCTGATGCAGTTGTGAGGAGCAAAACAAGCTTTAAAAACCCAATTTCCCGTGCGTTTTCTTAGTATGCACATCGATGCCTATTGCAACACGGAAGCTACAACCTCGCTGATAAGGCAGCACATCCCTGCAGCCAGCCTGATCCAGGAGAACGACGAGCAGCTCGTCTACACGCTGCCGCTCAAGGACATGGACAAGTTTGCAGGTATTGATGGTTTCATCCTGTAGCCTTCAATTTCTGTCAAATTATTGCTGCTGCATTTACGTGTTGTAACACGTATTCGCTGTGTGGCTATGATTTGGTTGATGATCAGTCCATGAGGGCTTTCTCAGGTGAGTGAGGACCTCATCACCTCCTCCAAGGGGACTGTGGGATGCTGAGGGATGTGGGTACCCGGCAGCAAAGCTGGGAAGATGCTTTTTGCAGGAGGAATGACTTTTATCCAAAAATCCCCTTGTCCTGCAGAAGCATCATCTCATCGCAAAGCATTTTAATGAGCAGGGCTGGCCAGAAAGCCCCAAATCCTACAAAAATCAACCCCCATCTTGTTACGAGCGTTGTGTCATTGCCTTAAAATCAGTGGGAGAGGAGCACGCAGCCGCTGTGGTGGTTTCACTAGATGGCAGCAATTATCTGCTCAGTCCTACCTGGGGCTCCTTGTGCGTCTCCCAGCAGAAAATGGAAGAAATACTGATGTGAATGCAGCTCATATTTCATAAATGCATTTTTTCCCCGTTGCATTTAACCAGTGAATAATTTATTAGCTTTACCTTTAGCAGCCGCTGCGTGTACTTTAGAAAAACGGGCGTCTTTATGCAAGGTTGAATCAATTCCCCTGAACTATTTTATAGAGAAGCTGAGGTTAGGAATATGCCTCAGCTACTGGGGCAGAAGAAATCGCGGGGATGGGATGAGCATCTCTGGGTATCCAACCACTCTTCCCATTTTATGCATTTCCATTTCCCTTCAGTGTGACCTTGGCTCTGAAGCTCCTCATTTTGTCAACTCCTTCACTTCATAGGACTGGAAAAAGCCCAGCAGCATTTTTTATCCCAAGGTGCTAATGCATGCTCCCTACTGAATATCGTTTTGGTCCTCGAGCTATGCATGCCACCCAGGATCAGCTAAGCTGGCTTTACACTTCTGGGTCTCAAGCCATGACCTGTGTCTTCATAATTAATCATATTTACACATTACTTGCTTTTTCCTACCATGCAGAAGCTTTAGGGATGCCCTTGATGTGTTTAAGACCTCTCAGGCGATGGTGTAACCCTGTTTTGGAGCAATCGCTCTGCTGCTCTTCTGTCCCCAGGCTTGTTTTCTGACCTGGACACCCATTCCCATTTGGGCGTTATCACCTACGGCGTTTCCATGACCACTCTGGAGGATGTTTATCTGAAGCTGGAAGTTGAGGCAGAGATCGATCAAGCAGGTGGGGTGGACCATGGCTTCTTTCCCCCATATTTGATTTAATCTTAATTGGTGTAGGGTTGCCCCCACCTCACAGCGTGGTCCCCTGGCATTCCAGGCTTTTCAAATATTTGAACATAAAAACCGCACAAAAGCAATGAGTTGGGCGTGGAGTGATTCTGGGAGGATCCAGGGGAAAAGCTGTTTACCAGCTGTCTGTGCAGTAATTAATATTTCATCCAGTGTACTTGTATCTAATTTCTTTGCTTTAGAATTGCACTTTTTATGGCTAGCTTTTAGAGCGTGCTTTGTTTTCCTAATGGAGCTTTTTTTCAAGAAATGGTAAATGCGCAATATGAAATCTGTTTACAACTGTCTGCGTGAACACTAATATTAGGAGCCTGCACTTAAAGCTCAAATAGCTGAATTTGTCTTTCTCCCCTCCTTTAAATTCACTTCCAATTCAAATGAAATTTGGGACGGAAATCATCTGCCCTAAGTGTCCCTCAGAGATTTGGGGTAGATCAGTGTTATTGACCTTGGGGTGAAGTTGATGGATGGGGATGGGGATGGAGATAGGAATAGG